CTGCTCCCAATCCATGTCGCCCTTCATACATTAAAGTGTAAAAACGAATTGATCATGCAGTAACAGTTAGCCACGTGCTCCATTGCGGTATATGAGCGTTCTACAACTACCATTATTATTATTATTAGTTAGTAACTTACTGAAGCAAGAGCAGTTGCAAGATCGCCACCGGGTAGCCATTCCATGATAATACTGATGTTGTTATTTCTGTTAGTAATGCCCATGAATTTTGTAATATAGTTGCAACGATCGAGCTTTTTGAGAATGGCGATTTCGTTCTTGAGCATATCAAGCATATCCTGTGAACCAAAGAATCCTAATGGCTTCTCTGCAACCTCTTGTGCGAGCCATGCTTTCTTATGGACTGGGAACGTTCGTCCATGGCGTGTTTCCCCTGGAGTGATGTCTGTAATTTGTTTATAATCGATCTCTACCAGTGCTAAGATATCGTCCATGGGCCTATTGGTCGCGATCATCTGACGGATGCCCATGAGTTGACCCCCCAAGCAATCAATACCGCTCTGAAGCTCCTTCCGAAAAGTCCGTAGTTCCGTCATGTCTTCTTCTAGTGCACTCCTATCCTTTTCAAGTTGCGATTGTGTCCGCAAAGCAATGCCAAGGTTTAACTACAAGGGAGCATAGCATAGCACAATTGATTAGACGTTTGTTTTTTTTTTTTTTTTTTTTTTTTTTTGAAAATAAAGGTAAGGACAATCATTGAAGCTTCCGATACTCACATCCAAAACACAACTGTCAAAATCTCGCAGCAACGCATCGAACTCGTCCCGAAATCTCAGTGCATAGAATAACTATTTGAGAAATAAAGCCATTTTTTTAGGACTCTCTTCAGCGAACAGAAATAGCTCGCAGCCAGTGCGCCAGAGGCTAAAAAAAAAAAAAAAAAAAAAAAAAAAAAAGAAGAGTATATCTCTGGAACTATATCTTTTACCTTGGAGAAGGTCTTTCGCTTGCTAATTTCGGCCACAAAGTCGCGCATTCGTTCCAGTAATTGAAAATATGTTTTGAATGCACTCTCGGATATGACAAGACTTTTTGGATTGACTTTATGTTGTTCAAAGGCAACTTTTATGATCTCATTGGCTGTCTGGATCCGATGGTTCATGGCCATGCAACTGACTTTATTAGCCTGCGCTGCTCTGGCTATTTCGTTGATGATGGTTGCCAGTTGTATGGCACCTGCGAAGAGGCCAAAGTCCACCATGGCGAGGAAGTCAATGCGAATTCAGACAAAAAAAATAAAATAAAATAAAGTGGAAAAACAAAATGCTAAATGGAGTGTACAGGGAAAGAAAAAGAAAGAGCAAAAAAAAAAAAAAAAAAAAAAAAAAAAAGAGCCAAGCGTGTTTTGGAGTGGTGCAACAGGAACAGGGGGTGGTGTATGAGTTTGTTTAATAGAGAGAGAGAGCCAGTTTTGGAGTGGGAATGTATGCAGGTTGGATGCCTTCCAACACAGGAAAGTGTAAAAAGAAAAAGGGAAATGCTGGGCTGGGGTGTAAGATGGGTGGGGGCTCTGGAGACAAGTTCAGAATCCCAAATCATCTCTTGAAGACTAATAAACACACAAAAATTGAAAAGGCTCAGAGCTTGAATTTGAGACTTGTGCTCGTGTGCAAATGTCTTCTCTGTCTTTTTCTTTTTCTTTCTTTTTTTATTGTCTTCGCCATGATGATTCCACTTCTTCAACCAAGTAACCCAACTTTTCTTTTTTTCTTTTCTTTTTTTCCTTGCTTGTCTCTAGAACTTGTCTTAGTGGCAGTGTTAATCACTAATTAGCTTCTTACTTATGCTTTTGTCCGGTGCATGCAAGACGTAGCTTATATTTTAAGAAGCTCGAACTCGAACTATTGGCCATGTCGCTCGTTCTTGCCGTTCTTGTTAGTCGAAGATCATGCTTCTTTTCTTTTGTTTTTAATGGCTATGCTCCGACCTGTTAGTAATATACTTTGGCCAATCGATCAAGAATGAAAGTGAAAAATAAAAAAATACGTGTTTAAAAATGCCCAGTGGTACAGACATAAAAGACATTGATGGTGACATTGATACACAGGCGTCAGTAATCTCGTGGGAAAGGCATTCATCCACTGATCAATTGTGGACAAGAGTCGTTTGACTCCGTTGACTATAGCATTAAGAGCATTAGAGCATTCGTGTATTTTATATTTTGTTGATAAAGTTATATTTTCGTAAAGAATATGAATTCATCGTAAATCAATCAGCCGCTCAATCAATTCAATCCCTTTAAATTAAAAATATATATTAAATGGACAAGTTGATGGATCATATTAGCTAAGCCACCACACGGCGAAGAAGGGCCCACCTTAAGTTTCCTTACTCGGAAGAACTGGTGGAATAAAAAAGAAAAAAGAATAAAGGGCTCGGGAAAAGTGTGTACATGTAGGAAAGAACGCAGCAAAGTTTTCTATTTTGTTCATTGTCCTTGTCCACGGAGTGCAACTTTTTTTTTTATTTTTTATTTTTTATAAAACACTCTGCTTCGCTTGAGCCACATTTTTCTTTTCCCTTTCAATTATTGGAAAATAAAACGCACATTAGGATTTACAACGGCATGTCAGCTACATCGGTTCTTCGCATTGGGTCTCGTTGCACTTCTCAATCAGCCAGGATCCAAGCTACTGCTCCTGCCGTTTCCCTCGGAGTCCCTAGAGCATTCTCAGTTCTTGGTCCAAAACGCTTGGTTACCAATGGTATCCAGACTGGCAACTTCCTTAAAGGTGCGGTGCCCGACTCTGTTCTCCGCGATTGTAGATCAGTGTTTCTTTTTTCGATATCGATCTATGTCTTAGGAACATGGAGAACCTATTGCTCGATCCGGCTAACTCTTCATCTTGTCAACTTACTGCGAAATTATAATAGGATATGGGCAAGCTGTAGGATGTGCTCCTTCCGTGTTCAGTCAGCAGGTACGAGCTTCTTTCTCTGTGTGTCCGTATCGAGGTTTTTGCCCTATGATCAATGCTGCCTCGCTCCGATCTTGCAAGGTTTAATTTGATTACCCCAACTCATTCATCATCGCTTTTCTGTAATCTTTGTAAAACCTCTTAGCGTAACTTCCATGCCTCAGGTACTATAACCCCTATGACAGAGCATTGAATCATTGGAGCATCCAATAGTAACCAGGATAGACTTCAATCAGTATGCTGGTTCGTAATTCTGATTATGAGGTTCTGGCTATTATGACTCACACTGTAGACTTTGACATTGCTGATCAATAATATATTTTAGCTCCCACGTCGGCTAGTCAACAGGACCCTTATGCCCTTCTTGGGGTCAAGAAGAACGCTACTCAGGCAGAGATCAAGAAGGCATATTATCAGGTATAGCTTTTTATTTAATTATGTTTTTTTTTTTTAAAAAAAAAAAAAAAAAAAAAAAAAAAAAATTACCCATATTGATTGATCAGAAGCATCCAAGGTTCTAATATCCTCTTACCAATCAGCTCGCCAAACAATATCATCCAGACACCAACAAAGATCCAGCAGCACGTGAAAAATTTGTACAGATCCAAGAAGCATACGAAATCTTATCAGACGAGCAGAAGAAGGCGCAATACGATGAGTTCGGCCATGCCGGCTTCGGTGGTAAGAGTTCTCCCTGTAGAGCCATCGTTTTTCCATTAATTCAGATTGTTAAAGTGCTGACGAATATGTCTCCTTATTTTTCGCTTCACACTTAGGTAATTCAGCACAAGGAGCCGGCGGATTCCCTGGTGGCTTCCCAGGCGGCTTCCCAGGCGCTGCAGGCTTTGGCAATTTTGAAGAAGTGTTTGATTTTTTCGGCGGAGGATTTGGTGGGCCTCGTGGAGCTAGATCATCTGGATTCACGAGTGTAGGTGAAGATCTCGAGATACCGTTGGTGGTTGATTTCATGGAGGCTGTTAAGGGATCATCAAAGAAGGTGATGATTGACCCGATCAGGACATGTGAACCCTGTCATGGTTTTGGAACTAAGAGCGGCAAAGCGCCTGACACCTGTAAAGTTTGCCAAGGAACAGGTCAGCAAAAGATTTCACTCCAAGGATTCCATATGTCAGCACCATGTCAGGCATGTGGTGGTGTAGGTACTGTGCTGCAGAAGGGCAAGGAGTGCTTAACTTGTGGGGGCGTTGGTCGCGTCCGTGTTCATGAGAATGTGGATGTTCATATTCCTGCAGGTACCGTTTATTTCGTTTTTTAATGGGATATTGCATGAAGTTTTTTTTTTTTGTTAGTAATTTTTTTTAACCCTATTTCAATTTTAGGTGCTGATGAGGGAGTTCGTATTCGTTTGAGCGGAAAGGGCAATGCACCTATCCATGGTGAAGGCAAAGCAGGAGACTTGTTTGTCCGTCTAAGGGTAAAGCCCTCGCCTTTCTTCAAGCGTCAAGGGGCTGATGTATATACCGAGACGACCATTCCTTTCACAACCGCCGCCTTGGGAGGAACAGTCAAAATCTCTACAGTCGATGGCGATGTTGACCTCAAGATCCCATCTGGAACACAGCCTAACGACGTGAGCCGACTTGCCAAACGCGGTATTCAAAGATTGAACAGGAGCGACAAAGGAGACCAATTTGTAACACTTAAAGTGGCGCTTCCAAAAACATTGTCCAAAGCTCAGCGTGAGATTTTAGAGAAGTTTGCGGAAATAACCTACCCCAACAGCACAACATCTTCGTCATCTACATCAAGCTCTTCTAGCTCAAGTAAGGATGAATCGTCATCGGGAGGATTCTTTAAGTCAACATTTGAGAAGCTGAAGGATGAATTGCATCATAAGCTGCACCCTGATGATATAAAGAATAATGACAATGGTGATAACAAAGATGACAAGAAGAAGGACTAAGAAGAAAAATCGGGGTCCGCAAGGGCTGGATTGTGTTGGCTTTCATTAGTTGTGGATGTGCCCAATAGGGGTTAATAAAGATGACCATAGACTTTAGCATAGCACTTCTTGACTTTCAGCTTTTTTTTTTTTTTTTTTTTTTTTTTTTTTTTTTTAATGATTACAATTAAAGTATAAGTAATGGTTTATATAACTTAGGTCACTTCATCAGCCGCGGTCACTAATATCGAGACCATTCAGTGCGAACCAATCCATGGTTTCTAATTCCGTTCTCCGTATTGTCTGTGGATGGCGATTGTATTGAAATGAGTTTCTGATGCTCATCTCGGTGCTATTACAGATAAGTAAATCTTCATCATCCATGCCGCGCTCTACATCGCTCATATCGTCGTCGTCTTCATCGTTCAAATTATCAGAGCCGTAAGAATCAGATCCGTATTCCATTTGACTCCCTGTGGACGAACGTGATACACGTTGAGTATGGGCATAGGAATCTGTGCCACCAACAAGAGCCTGATCTTCCTTCCCTTCATCCTCTTCCGTATATATGTGCAGAGTTCCATTACCCACAAAATCAGATAATCTTCCTTGACCTATCGCTCCATTAGACCCTAAATCAATACCCAACAAATCTAATCCTCCTGAGGAACTACTCCTTGGCAAGAGATGGCTTCCTACCCTGGCAGATCCACGTCTAGCAGCAGGGATCCTTGTTTCAGGAGAAGCTCTCATGGACGCGCGACTCTGACGAAGGCTTTGTCTTTTTTTCCTTCTCCGCTCGATCCTAATCCCTTCATTTGCTGCGATCTCACGTTTTGCTACGATCCAAACATAGGCCCCAACCCCGATACCTAATGCCATGCTTATTAGCATAATCAAGATCTTCAGACTTTGCCCATGTTGATTTGTATCAACTAGGGCCTCATCTTCTTGTGATTGTTGTTGCTCAGTATCTGTGGCTGGGGTAGTTGTTGAAGGTGGTACTGTGGCGAGTGATGATAATGTAGATCCGATATAGATATGAAGCGCCAACTTTGTAAGCGAGAGTGCTGTAGCAAATGTGTAAGTTGAGAGAGGGATATGGGTCGCAGAGAGTAGAGCATTCATAACGTTGAAAGGATATGGCGCCAGACGGATTAAGAGCATTAGCTATCCAAAAAATAAAAAAAAAAAAAAAAAAGTTTTTGGATTGACTATTGAGTTGCTTTGGAAGGTAGAGCATTAAATGGTACCAATGTCATTGCTTTTTTTCTTTTTTTACTTTACTTTAAATCCTCGCTTCTCGACTGCTTTAACAACAGATTTCATGCCCTGTTTCTTGGCCATAAGCGTCCTGACTTGAACCTTAAACCAGCGTCTGCATAAGTAAAAGCAAGCAACAGAGCCAAGAAGCGCAGATGTATATGCGATGAATAAACCAAAAGCAAACCCGTAGACATATCCTATTTTTATATTACGTGGCTTTAGATTACAATTGGCTTTTCAACTTCATGCCAAGACAAAAAAAAAAAAAAAAAAAAAAGTGTTTGCTGCATTGTGTGTGTGCCAACATAAAGGCTGTAGTTTTCCCCACTTCTGGCTTACCAGACATGGTTACAAGAGATGAGTAACCGAAAATGGGTGGAAATGCCGTCAGAAACAGCCCAAGCATTATAATTAAAGGACCGCTAATAAATTCAAGGACAAAATAAATGATTAGCTCTTGATGAAAAAGAATTGAGGAAATGGATAGTGTAAGGCGTATGGTTTGTTCCTTACGCTCGTCCAAGGCCTTTGATGAATGTTGCAATACTTTCTAAGAGCTGAAATATTAGTGTATGGAATCCTACAAAAATAGCAAGGCCAAAGACCGCGAAGATCAACCAAAGGCCCACCCAGAACCATGGACGTAATGCTATAGGTAACTTTCCTCTGATCTGGAGAAGAATTGAAATCACATATTGGATGAGTCGGATAGGGATCGATTGCGGTCCTGATAAATGTGATGAGGCGGCTGTTTCCTTGGCTTCTAATCTTGACGCTGACGGGCTTGAAGGTGAAGAAAAGGATATGAGGGAACTGAGTGAGGCTGAGGAACCATGTCGAAGGTGACTATGATGGTGGTGCGTTGCTGTTGCGCTGGAGGAACTGATAGGTTCGCCGTCTTCGTCTCCAGTTGTGGCAGTTACTGTAGTAGTGGGTAGAAAAACTGTGCTCATTCTAACACTCAATCTCTATCCCTCCCTTCTTGCTTTTATCTTTGTGGTTATTTTGTGAACAAACTAATAGGCCGGAAAAACAAGAAGGTTAAGCAAGTGTACTTTATGAGGGGAGATAATCATATAAATTATCGTAAACTAGCAAGTGCGTTAAAGTAAATAGCTCTGAAGCTTTAAGGATGGAAAGAATGGAGAGAGAACAATTGAAATGAAGAGAGAAATGAAGGAAAGAGAACGAGAGATGACAAAAAAAAATTGAAGGATAAACTAAGGAAAATAAAGGGAGTCCAGACGAACCAGGAACAAACGCGCAGAGCACAAGCATGCAAGCACTGCTTTTTTTTTTTTTTTGGCCATTAAACTTTAAACACGCGAGACAAAACGACTATTCTTAACGAGCCCCCCACGTGCTTTGGCTTCCAGGTGGCTTGAGAGTCAAAGTCGCTACAGCTGAATGCTTCATTTCATGCATCTAAATAAAACGCGCATCAGCATCTTACCTTCGGACAGATCGCATATCAATTATGGCACTCGTCACGGATTTCAGGCCCGTGACGCACGAGTTTTATCCTGAACATTTCCATGGAGCTGCATTCGTCGGCGCAAAGACCGCGGATGCTCTATGGTTCTATAGATTTGATTCAACCTTCATTGAAGTCCGCGACATCTTTACTTGTCAAGAAAAGGTCTATGCCTCACTTTCCGCCAACGAAGTCAAGCGACATTTCGGAGAGCAATTGAAGGACAATGATGTATGTGTATTATATATATTTCTCTCTAAAGGGCTATTCCGTGATTAATTACCAAACAGGGGTGTTACCACTGAGTGGGGAGCCGCTTATCTGATCTCTATCAACATTGACTCTTTCGTCGATGAAATCGCATCATAGATCTATTTCGTCAATGTACAGGATGCCTACGTTGGCGAGTTTCATGTATTAATATTCGTAGCGCGAGAGATGCATGGGGAAAGAGACCATGTTTTTATTTGGAACTTGTTGACACTCCACCTTCAAATGCTCGTCTCGCCGCCACGACTCTTGACCGCCGTAACAGTCATGGCCCAGCAGGCAATCATGGTGAGACATCGTTTAGTAAAACATTGGGGGAAGACCCCATTGACCAAATCCCCTTCTTCTCCTACTTCCCCTACGTCTCCCACGTCTCCCACGTCTCCTATGTTTCCTTCATCATTTACATATGCTTCATCTCCTCTCTACCGGCCACTAATCTCAAAATACGGATCTTGGTCCTCCCGATCATCATCATCATCGTCCTTGCTGCAGAGAGATAACCAGAATATTAGCGAGACCGGCTCATCGCCGTTTGAACCGGACGAGGACGAAGAGGAACAGGACAATGAACATGAATATAGCAACGATATACAGAGCCGAGTATCCGTTCGAAACAATAGGAGACAACTCTTGATCCTAGGACACCGTAGCGGTTGGGTTACGCTTTACAAATTTACTATGTCATCGGCTGGACAAGTCAATTGTGCCAAGGTAGGAAATTTCTTTGAATTGTCAACGCTGCTACATGTTCCCCAAGAAAATGCCATTAAAGTGAAGGTATATTAACGCCGTACCCGACCGAATAATAGGAAGCAGAGCATCAAATCGCCCTCAACAACCCAACAGACGCATTTGTAAGGACGTTGTACATTGCTAACAAACTTTCAGACTTTTAAGCCATAACCATAATAAAAAAGCCTAATATATACTTAACTTTGCTTTGGTATTGCTTTAGGTTACATCACTCGCCACACTTTCCAACAAAAACACGAGATCCATTCCGGTCATTGTTGCAGGCATGTCAGATGCTAACGCCTATGTCATTAATTATCATGGAGCACACGAGAAGCCTCAGGTGCTTATGGCACTCAAAGACCTTCGTTCAAAAAAACTACCTATCACCAGTATCACACTTGAGCCTACCAAGGATGAGGCATTAGACATCTTAGTTGTTGGCCAGGGACATTCTCAGAATATAAAGGATGCTGAAAGCCATCGTGGATGTCCTACAGTGACTATCTATTACCTTCGTGCACAACGATCTGAATACCGCTTACTGGGACATGTTGAGCCACAATTACTAGGAGGAGAGGCTGTGATTGGAGGCAAGACTTTAGCCATAGCAGTCTCAGAAGACATTAATGGACTCCGCATTCAATGTGCATTTTCAATTCAGATTGGGGATGCTCCCCTTAGATCGGAGCTGACGACAGTAGAGATTTACGAAAAGGAAGTTAGACATTTGGACCATGTGCAGATGCTAGCAACGGAAGGTGGAACACTTTTAGACATCAGCCCACAAACTAATTCATACGAACTAGTGGTTTTGTACCTAAGCAAAATGGTCAACCATGTCCATACAGCTGATATCGAGTGGAATCGCAAAGAAACCGAACGGACTGAGGGCGAAGATAATCAGGAGACAGCACATCAAGACCTAGCGCCTGCATACGGATCCTTCTTTGATGAAAACGTTAGATTCAACTATACGGAGTCTGGGCTAGCAGAGATTGTAGAGCGACGGAAGCAATTAGGTGGAAAGCTTTTTTATGATCGGCTTCTTGAATTCGTGGAACTGGAAAGTACGACGACATAATCTCTTCATGTGCTACTTTTTGATTGTTTTTTTTTTTTTTTTTTTTTTTTTTTGACTTTGTAGTCTATGTTTAATACTTATTGAAATGAGCTTATGACGCTTATTTTAACCTAGCCGGCGTGCTCTATCCTCCAAGGAATCACGCTCAACAACGTAATCTGTGGACCAATATCTATTTCAGTGGCGATCTCAACTCTGACAACCGGAACTGCTTAGCTTATTATCTTTTGAAGAATCAACATGGCGAAGCAAGTGAACAATTCTTGAAAGAGTACAGGATCCCTCCTAAATTTGTTGATCTTATGAACGGGTTCTGGTCGCTTGATAACTTTGAGTTCAAGGTACAAAAAACCCTTCTTGTGTGGCATCAGTTTGCCCGCCTAGATAATAACTCATCGAACTATTGGTTTTTATATCAATGTAGAATGCTGTTTTTTATCTTTCTCGGCCAGGATTGACAGTAGACTGGATCGAGGATGTGGTCGAGGCTATCAGTCTACATGGATCTCCTCAGTTGGCAAGGCAATTTCTTGTCGCAGCCAATCTTAATTTGACTTCAGAACGGTTTATCGACCTCAAAATGAAGATTTTGCTGGATACTGATTTCACAGAGGCTTTTTATTTCCAGCGATCAGTAACCCGTTTGAATCCCGAAGAGGATGCAAGTGATGACGCGCACATGGTTCTAGATGTCTCTGCAGAAAAAGATGGATATTTGTTTGTACAGCTGCTTGATTATACTTTCCTTAGTAAGTGCTTTATTTTTTTTTATTTTTTTTTATTTTTTTTATTTTTATTTTTATTTTTATTTTTATTTTTATTTTTATTTTTATTTTTATTTTTATTTTTATTTTTATTTTTATTTTTATTTTTATTTTTATTTTTATTTTTATTTTTATTTTTATTTTTATTTTTTTTTTGGCTTAAAATGTGTGCTGATCATGGCAAAATAATGGAATGGAATGCTATATGATATCATTGGTGAATAACCTAATATATTATTACTTGTAAAACGCAGATAAACCAAACAGGAAAGCAATTCAGTCACTGTCGTTATTGACGATGAATGAGAGGGAAGAACAGATATTTATCCGATATTGCGATACACATCCAGGCCTCACTCGGGAAGTTGCTCAAGAATTTTTGATCATGTATTATGTCAGTCACTCACGGTATATGGAAGCCATTCGGATGCATCGCAAATTACTTGCAGTGGAACTTGAGAAGGAAGGCATGGCGCAGCTCCATCACGCAGCGATGGAACGAAATAACGTTAATGGTGTATCGAAACAAGAGCTGAGCAAGAGTCAGAAGCGACAGGTGCTTATCAATAATCTAATGAAGATCCTCCCTGAGACACAAAAAGTTCTTTTAGACTTGGAGACCGAGCGGCAAGATGCCAAAGTGGATACAGATGGCACAAAAGTTGCAGTAAAATCTCTGATGAAGGACTTAAATGGATCACTAACTAGTCTCACGGGTATGGATTTGAATTGGGTAACAGGATCATCGGACCAAACAGTTGCTCTTAATGGAGATGAAGACAAGGGCAAGCAGAGCGGCAAGAAGGAAGACAAAGTACTTTACGCTCCAGCTAAATTGTTGGGAGACTGTACCAAAACTATCGATAACCGCATAAGCAGAGCTGAGGTGATGGAGGTGGATTCTGATGAAGATCTGTAAAAAGGAAAAATAATAATAATAAAAATAATACGAAAAATGATACGCGATAATGCTTCGGAGATTAGATTAAGCCCAAGATGCAGCTTATTATTTTATTTTGCTAATTCATCTTTTTTATTTACACGAGAATTGTTCAATGCGAAAATGAGGAATAAAAGAGCTATAGTGGACAATAGTAGGCATATGCAAGCCTTGGCTGCTTCTTTTTTTTTTTTTTTTTTTTTTTAAGGAGCAACAAGGCGGCAACCATTATGATCGGGCAGGCCACCAATAATGATGAGGATAATATCGATAATGTACCAGATACCAAATCCTCCAGCTAGAACAATCATTGCAGTTCAAAAGAAGAGAAAATCAGGTTTGTTTTTAGTAACTGTAATTGAAAAAAAAAAAAAAAAAAAAAAAAAGGCTGTGATTTCCAGAATCGTCCCGCGCGGAGTATTTTTTTTTTTTCAGTATGCGGAAGTGAAAAGTGGACACATGCTTGAAAAAAAAAAAAAAAAAAAAAAAAAAAAAAGGCAGTAATGCAAAAATCATGAGATGTGTTCACTCCTGAGTTCTGCCCTTTTGATGGTTTTACAGAGAATGAAACTCACCAGTAATAAACTTGAGCAAAGATGAGATGATGTAGCCAAGGTAAAAGCGATCAACACTAGCATTTTTTTTTATAAAGAAAAGAACATGGCGGTTAGCTTCAATCGTTCCTGTTTTCTTCCTTTCCTTTCCTTTCCTTTCTTTTTCTTTTTTTTTTTCTTACGCAAGATATCCAAGGAAGACAGATAGTAGGATGGCAATAGGGTATGACCTGTCGGATTCACAGCGGGGTGGGCGACTGAAGAGGTTGTCATTGTTGTTGACGCTCTTTGCAAGGTCATTCACTGGATACTGCAGATCGTGACCGCCATGATGTTCCTTTGACTTGTGATAGAAATGCAGTGCAAGAACGGTTGAGATGGCAGCGATAGCAGCCAAGAGCCATAAAGCAAAGTAACGCTTGCGATGAGTGGTAACATGGACAAACGTACGGCCATAGAACGTGTCATTTGCTTCGGTGTTGACGTTACTCTGAGGTCTGTTGTTCAACAACGCTTGAGATTCCTCGTCTTGGTGGGGTTGTGATGCAGCAGCACTGGTGGCGCCATAGTTATTAGTTGCCATTATAGAAACCGGAGGAAAAGAGGATTTAAGAAAAAAGGTAAAAAGGTAAGATAGTGGTATCGGTATTGAGGGAACGAAGAAAAGAGGAAGGAAAAGAGGAAGAAAAAAGATCAATAAAAAAAAAAAAAATGCAAAATATTCTTGCGTGTCCCTTGCGTGGATTTTTTCCATGGGTAAATCATGCCTTCTTTTTGAGCTGACAATCGCACAATGGAACAACCACCATTCTGCTTTTTTTCTCACGCTCTCAGATAGAGCTTTACCCTTCTTTTATTTACTGCTTTACCCTCACCACTCTTCCCATTTCATTACTCACCCCCGGACTTGATGTTTAATATTGTCATAGTTATAGCCTCGCTCTGACACAAGAGTTTAATCCATCAAAGATAGTTGGCGAAAGTAGGCGCGTTGAGCGCCAAAAACAACTATCCCAATCCCTTACACCAGAGCCTTCAGCCGAAACACATCATCAACTATCACTATATGAATAGACCATTAAGTTGTTCGATATCGATTCCCTTTCTCTAGGCTCGTCCTTTGAATATCCTTAGATACTCAAGTTACGTAGTGGTATTTTTTAATTATAACTTTTAATGAGGTGACGTAGTAGGCTTTTTGCTAAATCCATCCCTTTCTGCCAGTTGATACTTCCGAATCACCATCGCCATTTAATCCTCTTCCATCGCTCATTACCCATTTTATTTATGTCAGGATAGCTCTCCTGCAGACTCCATTCAGGCCCTTCTCGTGTTTCTGTAGTCCATCTCTTGTCCCAGGTAACCTTTTTACTTTTTTTTAAAAAAAAAAAAAAAAAAAAAAAAAACGCGTAAATTCAAATTAGCCTACTTCATTTCTAACTGTCTTCCTTCTCTCTGAGATAGATAATATTAGCCGTCCTTTCCACAATGGTATTTATAAATATCACGAACATGCTAGCTATTTCGATTAGTTCATTAGCTTATAATTAATTATTTTTCTTAATGCAAGTTATAGGTCCTCACTACTGATACCTTAGTTGCCTCGAGTAACGATGAGGATGCAACTGAAGAGGTCCTTGAGCCAGGCTTCGAATTCTACGATCATGATGAAGCTACCGACGTTGATACGGATCCTGAAGAGCACGACTGTGATGATGGTGAAGACTATTCTTCGGATGTGTCAGATTCCGAGCCAGAAATAGTGTGGGGGCCAGTTGAACCATCCGGTGAAGACAACACCTCCGGGAATGACCTCGCAACAGAATCTCTTAAGAAAACTTTCGTTGAGGCGCCATCTGAAAATAACGTAGAAGAAATAGAGGATATATCGAGGTTGAGTCAAGATAAGGAGGCTCGTGCAGTCAGTCTGGCTTCCACAATTGTGTCTGCGCAGCTACAAGAATACTCTTGGATTGAGTCGATGGTCCCAGAGGCTAAGATTAGGGATATTGTTGATGGCCTCAGGATTAAGAAACAGGACTACGATTATTTGCCGCACGTATTCTATGTGGTCAAAAGAGACTTTGAACTGTGGAAGGACCGAGATGGCAGCGATCACTTTTTTATTTGGAATAAAGGCAACTCTGAGATAAATGGTAGAAATGAAGACAATGAAGACTCTGAAGTCACCAACGACAATGATAGCAAAGGCAAACTGCGTTCATTTCAACTTTATTTCTGCCACTGTGCAGGCGCCCCACGCAAAAAAAAGATTACTGACCAAGATCAACTACTTGAGAGGCCAGCCAAGAAAACCCGCAATGTTTATAAACCGACCAAGAAAGTAGGCTGTAAAGCCAGACTAATTGTTCATGACGTAAAACCCAATATGGAAGAGTTCGCAAGTAGAGGAGAAAGGAACCAGCTGCGTGTGATATATTACTACAAGCACACTGGGCATACTCTTGCCAGTCTCGAGGACCTTCAACATCTCAGAGTGACAGAAGAAACAAAATCGCGAATTCGAAACCTTGTCCGTTTAGGTCTCTGTACAAGAAAGATTCTGACAAGGATAAACCTGTCTGGCAGCCAGGCATTCTCGCGACACCAAAGAGGGTCTTTGCAGCGTGGCCATGTCCTGAAGTATGAGGATGTGTACAATATTTATTATAAATATTCAACTGGGCAGAGTCAGCTTGAAAAGAATGACTTAGTCTCGATGAGGCTCTGGATGGACAAACTAAAGGACAAGGGCTTCACTGTATTCAGGCTCGACTACCACATCGTAATAGACGGGGTAAATCATGCAAGATTTGCATATGGGTTTATGTCGCCGTTCCAGAAATCAGTTTATGGATCCAATTTTAAACACATTGGGCTAGATTCAACGCATGGAACAAAACGCTCTAAACACGAGCTTTACACCATAATTGTGCGGAACCCACAAAGTCTGAGTGCTATCCCAGTTGCCTTCTTGCTTACGAACGATCATAGCCATGTACCGTTGGGAAAATGGTTGAAACATATCAGAGAAAACATTGGCTCTCCTGAATACATCACCACTGATGATGCTCGAGCAGAATACAAAGCAATCCGATTGGCGTTTGGAGACTCAGTCACAGTTCATTTATGTCTATGGCATGTTATGAAAGCTTGGGGCGCCAAGCTTCGAAATGTTATCTGTGCAACGCAAGACAAGGCAGCTAAGGAGTTGAGGGAGGAAGCGATGGGAGAGCTCCGTAGAATTTTGTTTGATCCAAACCGTACGCGAGCTGAGACTCTTATTTCAGAATTCGAGTTGAAATGGCAGGATCATAATGAGGGCAAAGTCTGGAATTATTTTAGAGAACGCTACCTCAGTGAAGACCGAAGGAGAAGGTGGATGAAATGTTATCGTATGGGAAAGTTTTATGCCGGGATGGATACTAACAATTACGTCGAGTCCTGGCACAACCACCTTAAGTCGCACTTCTTACGAGGTTATACAAACTGCAGGGGAGATAGATTGGTTTATATCTTAACTCATGATGTAGATGAGTTTTACCAAATGATGGCAAGGCAGACTGTGCGACGCTATGGGCAACATTTAAAAGGCGAGAGAGATGACTTTCACCAAAGAAAATTTCTAGATGGTCTAGAAGACCTTCCACAGCGCATTGTTCACGAGCAGCAAGTGGGAGACCGAACCGTTTACTGTGTGCGCTCGTTCTCCGTATCTGGCGGATATTATTTCGTGGTTGCCACGAATGAAACTATCTCAAGATGTAACTGTCAGTACTTTATGTATTCTCAGCGCCCATGCAGACATATGTATCTTTTGCATCAAGTTCATAAGGATAACCCAGACCCACCACTCCGCATCATACATGATGTCCTTGAGAGGGTCCCTGATAGACATGCTATGATCCAGAGTTTTCAAGATGGCCTGGAAGGGAATGTTAACCCCAGCATGAGTGATGCTCTGTTGGAGGTAGAGGATGCTGAAGCAGAGGAGGTTGCTGAGGCGGAGAGGATTGCTGATGCGGTTACTGAATCTTTGGTGATACTCAAAAAGAGTCTCCATGATTCAGATAGCATTGTGAGAAGTTCCGACGCAGCAAGGGAATTAAGTGATATAGTTGAACGGTTTTGTTCTTTACAAAGAACGATAAATACATCTGGGAACCAAAAACGGCAGCGCCAATAAAAAAAAATATTTACATGTATATATTTGATCAAAAAACTATTCAATCCAATTCAATCAAAGAGAGCACAATTGAAATAGCCAATCAGAAATCAGGATTTCTTTTTTTTTATTTTTATACAGAATGATGAAAAAAGAAATCCATTTTCTGTTGATATAGAGTATCTACAAGACTGAAAACCATATATTTTGTAGGTAAGATCCATTGGTACGATTTAAAAAAAAGTTGAAAAGAATCGGTTAAGTCTTCAGTAAGATACCTCCATTCAAAGAACTTGTACATTGAAAATAATCAAGATTACGTACATCTTCTTTCGTTCAAAAGTAATATTACTCTGTCAGTAATGGCGATACACATTGCAAAATATAGATTCTGGTACCCAAAAGCTATATCTATAAGTCATGTATATGCACTTCAAGGAACTAGCAATGCGGTTGTCAAGAATATGCCCATTGAACTCTCTAAATAGAGTAATTTCTGGAATTTATAGTCTCTCCTCCATCTTTAAACAGTAAGGATGGTTATTTTTGTAAACTAAGTCGCTGTAAAAATACCACAATTGGATTCAGCATTGACATGTCCTTTAAATCTGAGAATATGGTGAAGTTTGAAGGTTTTATCATAGAGCTCTGCTTTTTTTACTAATTTCAACGAAACATTTTTTAAACAAGTGTCTACCAAGCTACACTTGGTTTCCAAAGTCGGTTTTTATGTCACTACGGATACTCAATTTCTTCAGAAACTTCAATTACTACCCTAGATCGCTTTATATTAGTGTCTTTTGACATTATCCAAAGTTTGGTTTGGATTGAGGTTCATTTAAATGACTTTTATATATGAGAACTGGTTTTCCCATATGACTTAGAGACAGGTTAGAGTGAACTTCCATATATAATTTGGCCCACATGACCCACATGACCCACACGACTTGTATGGAAATAACTTTTATTTTTTGTTTAAGGGTGTCGCATATTTGGCTAACTTGAGTATCTAAGGGGACTTCTCTCAGGCTGGGGACCAAACTTGACATTTTGGCTGGAGGTCTCTTTTTTTAAATTTGAAAAAGTTTCCAAGTCGAAAACACGTCGCAGGAAAGGCTCTTTTTTTCTGCCATTCTCGCCGCAGAAAATGTCTTTTTTTTTTTCAAAGTCCAGACTAGGATATTGATTTGATTGAGAACGAACGAGGAATGAGAAAAAAGAATGGTATATTTCGCGTAAAAAGAGTCATCATGCTCTAATTAATCAATTAATTACCTTTAATTAAGATAGTGTGCTTAATAAGGTCAGAGAGATGGAAACGAGAATTGTGGAGTAGATCAAATGTTAGAATAATAAAATGTTAGAATAATAGATGGCATTGCAGATGATGGAAACAAGAGATGATTGGTAAAAATGAGGCTAGTGATTTGGGTGTGTGTGTAGGACCGATTAAAAAGCGCCATCCGTTTGTCAAAAGGGCAAGTGGATAGTGATGGCTTCGTTCATAAAGGATGAACGATTGTAAAGGATACTCAATAGATATGGTATTTTCATTACAAGACAAAATTCCTTTCACTTGATTGACATTCGACTCTTTTCTTCATGCTCGAGCCTCGGCGGTCCTCCTGCATATGCGGTATTGATGCGAGTTTTTATGACACATTGTCCCGCATGTTTTAAATATCTAGGTGTTGCCTTAACATTCTGATCGTTGTTGATAACGAGCTCCTAAACTTTAAGCTTGACGTGTATGTCGCCTGGGACCATGGAACGGAGGAATGTGATATTGTCACTTTTCTCCGAGGTTTGATCGGTTTCTCTTCAAGCATGATCCAGTAAACATTATCAATCATCTCCTTGAATGATGCTTGCTTGATCGGATGCTCCTCTGATGTGACTTGGAATGGCTTGTCGGGCCTCAACACAAAACTTATGGGTGGAAAGATAGGAATAGACAATAGAAACAACTTGCCACTTGCTTGAGAAAATTCCGATGATGCAGCTGCGGCAATTCGCTTGGTGTGCTCACTTCTCCTTGCTCAGGTTTATTGAATAGCGATATTTTAATTTATCTATTAGTGCTATATTACAAAACTGTGTCTGTGTCATTGTCATAAACAATGGCGAGTAAAAAGAAGTAAAAGAAGCGATCGCTACTTTTTCCTTGGTCCCTTATCCCTGCTTGACCTATTGGGCTTGTCGTCCTCCGCTTACACTTTTTCTTTTATTTGATCCGCTGGGTTTGCTCAGCTCTTCCTTATTTTCCATAGCTGTAGCTTTATCGACAATTCACTTGATGTCCTCCTTGCCTGTGGTTCTTTGGGCTTGCTTCCTTCTCCCTCATCCTCCACAACTCGAGTCAATTCTGACTTCTTGAAGGACTCCCTTGCACTTTCAAGGAAGTTCAACAAGCTAATATTGAGTACGTCGTTTCTATTCGTTTGTCTTTGATGGTAGGAACTTCTTTGACTTTAGCTAGCGAATAATCACCCTGTTCGTGATAAGACAACATGATAAGGCAGCGTGATAAGTAAGGCCTAAACAACAGCAACAAGGATATGCCATTCGAGCAAAAGCCGAGAGAAGACGGTGATGAGAGGTGTTCTTTGATGCAATTATGGCAAGTTGTATTGTAAGCATCCTTAATTCTTGACCTTATCGCCGATTTTGACTGTACGGAATCAGGATAATATTTACCCTCCGATTCTAGTACAAAGACGATATCTGGTCCAGATGGGTTCTCTTTTGGAAACAAAAAAGAGCGAGATTAACTTGGATTCATGTATTGAGTCTTTGTTACAGTGAGTATCCAAGAATTCGTTCATTGTTATAATTCTGGAAGATTGAAATTAAACAAAGCGGGACTGAAATACTCAAAATGTGTGCCCTTTGTGCCAGACGTAGGGGCGTCTAGCAACACACTATTAACCAATTTAACCAATCCAGGGTCATCCACTTCAAACAAGTTAATTGCTGCTATAAATGCTATTGGCTCAACAATAATTGTAAACTCCTTCTTCCTTTGATTAACGACAATTCAAGCAAACGAAACCTCGACCGGAACAGGTTCATTGTACTCCAATATCAAGTCTTTACTATATAGTAATCTATTCATTCTTTACGGCTCGACCGAAGGTTTTCCTGATGTCGACACTGGTTTTAATTCCTGCATCCCCTTTGTTAATACGCTTCAGAATTCTAGATTACTCATGGCATAGGTTACCAGATTCTTTATATCCTGGATCAGTGAGCGACCACACTAGGCCCTTGATTTCTTGCTTCCAAAGGCCTGCATCGGCACGTCCAATGAGGTTTTCTATTATAGTGATCATTGGACGGAGACGACCACAGGACCAAGCATATAGCATCTCGATTGCTTGATCATTATAATGGCCTCTCCGCTTTGATGCAGAGCTTGAGTAACTTTATTTCTCCAAATATCGCACGAGTGTCTTGAAGTATGTCCGGACTTTTGCTTGATTATCCCATCTAGGAAACGATACTGCACTCTTGAACCTCAAGTCATCGAGAACTTCTCGATATTCCTTGAAGCTTTGCCAGTTCTCTTAACCCAAGCAGGATCATAAATACAAAAGCCTATCCCGCAAGGAACTATGCAAATTCGTGGTAAATCCTCTGATAAGCCCTCCAATCCATGAAAGAATGCTGATAATATTGGTCGCTTAGTGTCGTTGTTGTTAATACACTGGTATTTAGCCTCCCCTCCAAATATCCTGCGCCTCGTTCAAAACAACCAAAAACATAGAGTTGCTTTGATGCCACTCCGAAAGGACCCTGATTAGATTGTCGAACCAATCTTGCAGGAGCTTGTCAAGGCAATTAAAGCCAACTCCACCAAGTAATTCTGCTACTTTTGTGAAGAGCGCTAGGAATAAATCTGTCCTGGATGGAACCGAGTTTCCTCAATGAACTTCTCCAAGGACCTGTGGACACACTTGCAATAGCATCCATTGGCTAGGCGTCATTCTACCTTCGGACAAGTAAAAAGGGTAAATTGATGAGCATCAAATATAAAACATAAAGGCATTTTTGCTTACGTTCTTCAAGGGGTATACGAAAACCAAACTGCGATTAACCGCCTATGAACGCAAGGCACAGAACTTTTGGTGAGACTATAAACAAGCGTGGATATCCCAGACATCAAGGACCTTTTCCTCCTAATCTTTCATCCGTCTGGCATGAATTGATGTGAGAGGGGATGATTCTGGCGAGATTGATGCCCTCAACAGCATGTAGCATTAATATACCGAGAACTATTAATATACTGACGACACAATCCAATATTGTATCACATTTTACCGGTCAATCGCGTGGCAGCCTTGGCCACATTCTTGATGTTTTTTTATTCCATGTCCCTGGACGCCTAGAGATTCAAGACGCGCCGCCTTCACATACTGACACTGAATTGGCCGAACATACAACTAATATGATCTCATTGGTCACAGGTTGCCATCCCGTGCACGCACCATGGGGCTAAAACGACATTTATGTCTTTAGAGTGGAGCTGTCATCCTAGCTCCCGGTAAAGGTTTTGGCGCCCTGGATGATGATAATTGATAGGTCTTTCGCAAGTGGCAAGCATCCAGATGACAAAGCATACGAGAAAGGATAATTTCCTATGCCAGCTGTCCTGGTGATAATAATATGATTTTGGGTCTCATCATCAGACTCTCACTGGGTTCTCCACAGGATTCTTCATCTCTATCCGTTTTTACAAAACTCTTTGATAATAGTATCACAAAATCCTGCCTTTTCTTGCACACAAGATCGCATAATGATCACAGCTTTATAAAGTTCTAAATGCCCCAGTAGAAGGGAGGACGGATTAAACCGCTCTATTTATTCGTCTAGAAGGTAAGTGGATAATGATGGCTTCATTCATAAAGAATGAACCATTGTAAAAATTTCTCAAGGAACGGGTATAATGCTTTTTTTAAAAAAGACAAAATTTCATCCACTTGATTGGTATTCGATTTAATTCTTCAGATTCGTACCGGCTGATCCTCCTGAATATGCAGCTTCGGTGTCGATTTTTATGACACACTGTCTTACATGTTTTACGCATTTATATGGATCCTTGACGACCGTATTTCTGGTGGTAAGAAAGTTCTGAACTTTAAAGTCGTCATATACGTCTCCTGGCACCACAAAATAGAGGAAAATATCATCACTTCCCTTCGACTTTGATTGGTCTCCCTTCGACTTTGAGCGGTCTCCCTTCGACTTTGATCGGTCCCCCTTCGACTTTGATTGGTCTCCCTTCAAGCAGGGTCCAGTAATACAATCAATTATCTCCTTGAATGATGCTTGCTTGATCGGATGCTCCTCTGATACTGTGACCTGAAATAGCTTGTTGGGTCCCAATGCAAAATCAATGCACGGAAATTTAGAATGTTCTGGTACAAACAACTTGCCAGCTGCTTGAGTGAGCCCTGATAATTCCTCTGAAGTCCGGATAAACACCTCTTCTGGATTTGCTGGAAAATCAAGAAATCCTGTTTCGCCTGACTGGAGATCCCTAAAGGGAAATCTAATATCACCACGTCGAAATAAGTGATGAGCATAGATTTCAAACAGTGGGCCTTTATCTATATCCTCTCCGCCTATGACAAGTTTCGCCAACACATCGACCCAAGTGTTATCTTTTATTTTGTCCATAATCTGTGATTCGACCCAACGAGATGCCCACACCAGGTAGAAGTCGAGATGGTCAGAAGTGGGCACTCTATGGAGTAAACGACTAAATCCACTCGCATCTTTTCCTCGTGCAAAGAGGCTTAGAAGATCTGCTGGTTTCTCGAGTGTTCTAATGGCATCATTGACGCGGAATAACGCAGCTTCTTTAGCACGCTCAGTATGTTTTTGATTTTTGGATAGTATATCGGCTGGACACTGTAGAACCTGTCTTGGCACTCCCCCCAACTGGTAAAAAAGCTCCTCCAAAAATGCTTCACTCACTACATGAAAAAACTTTACATTGGCTCTACATTCCTTAAGTTCATCCAGACTCCAGAGTGACATGTGATAGTAGCTATTTGGTGTATTTTCCTTGGTGAGTTCATCGTAATGCCCATAGAGAGTTCTTGGCGATGCTGAAAATATCGTCCTGGCTTTACCTGGTTGAGGATTTTTACCACTATCAACTAAATACCACGTTTCACGTAGGTCAAGGAAATCTTCGAACATCGTTATATTCCCTTTACGTTGGCAAGTTGTTCCTCCATAAACATAACATTTGGTATACTGCTTCTCTTGGAAAATAATAATCGGTGGATTTTCCTCATCGTGTTCGGCAAGGAGGCGGATGGCAAAATAGACCAAAAAGGCTGACTTCCCAATTCCAGGCGTTCCAGTGACAAAGAGTCGGTTCAAACGAGGTACTTCATGAGGGGTACTTAATCCGGATGTAATATGGTCATAAAGCTCTTTATATTCATCTCTGATATAAAGATGCCTTGTTTTAGCAATAGGGAAGATACAACCCTCAGGGGCAGTCAATATTTTGGAACCCTTGATACCACCAGAATTTCGGAGCTCGCAAGCCACGCTAATAATGCTGTAGTAAATACTATCTCTTGATAGCTCCTTCCCCATGTACGAAAGCAGCTTGACCCTCTCTTTCGAGTTTAGACGCGAGATGGCAGGGCTACCATTCACTATCCCTTTCGTTACAAGCCCTGCTTCTGTAATCGCATCCATAAGAGCATCTCTATTTATACTTGGACGATCTTTTTTAGAGGAGTGATCAAAGTCAATATTTTTGATTTATTGCACTGCACATCACTCTGAATTGATCAATAACCAGGTTCTCAGCCAAAAGCACTCACCAGAATCTCCATCTTGTTTTCTTTTCTGAGCTAAGTATCAAAAGCGAATAATGAGAAAGAACGTTGAGTTATCAAGACACAAACCAAATGGTGATATCATGCACATGGCCGTTTAAGATATAAACCAAGCTTCATCAGCTGAAATATCAACAATCAGTCCATCAAGAGCCAAAGATATACCTCGCTGTGGTGGCTTGACAAAAACATGGATAGTGTTCTCTGGAAGTTCAGAATTAAATATCACCCCAAGCTTCATTGACGCGGGTGCGAGAGCCTCTTTTGACTCGATTTCTGACTCGACGACGGTCTTGTCTTCGTCAGGGATGGAGACCTTGTAGAGGATGAGCTTATCTGCGGCAACATGATCAAGTTCTGGCTTCTTTGCTACCTTGATGGCTTGCTTGAGCATCCCGACCGATTTATCGCAGAAAATCTCTACTGGGAACGACGTTGCTTCTCCCTCGACAACACAGTTCAGCTGCAGCAGTGGGATGGCGCGCTTTTTTCGTTGTGGGTGCTGGTTTACTCTTTTTCGTTTATTGAGTGTGGAGGCATCCTCAGGCTTATTTGCAGTCATTTTTATTTGTGCTTGGCTCTCTGTGGAATCATTTGCAGCCATGTTTTTTTGTGTTGAGCTCCTTGTGGTGGCCATTGAAAATTAAGATGAGTGGGACTGAGTGTGGTTGAAATGCAGGGAGAATGATGGTTAAATAGGCGAAGGTATATTCTATACTCTTTCACACTCGTGGTCGCTGTATGAAAACAAAAATGAAAAATGTGTAAGGCAAAAAAAAAAAAGGAAAGGAAAGGAAAGGAAAGGGAAGGCAATAGATGAAGGCTTGGAATAAATAAAAGAGCAAAATTGATGGGAGCAAAACTGGGGTGAAATATGAAAAAAGTGAAAAAAAAAGGGCAAAGGAAGAGGGAGAGAGAGTGCAAAAATGAAGTGAAGCAAAGGAAAGGAGCGACAATTGCAATTGATAAATTTGATCCTTTATTTTAAGGTTAGGAGATGTGTGAGAAAATATTTTTTTCAAATAGCCACGTGCCATTTTCTGGGTCATTGTGACGTGACAATCTTTAGTGCGCAAAGTAGAGGGTCAAGCTTATAAGAATTTTGTTAAGTAAACCTTGGCTCGGACCGAGATCTGAGCCTGAAGAGAAAGGGTGTGATGTTTCGATTTCCAGCACGTGCTGGAAGAAAACAAGCACAAACCTAATGCCCAAACAGCGCGAACCTGTTCTGAAACAGCATGAACCTGTTCTGAAACAGCATGAACCTGTTCTGAAACAGCACAAACCTTTTCTAAAACAGCGCGAACCTGTTCTGAAAACAGCACAAACCTATTGCACAAACAGCGCTAACCTGAAGAAAAGCACACAGGCTTAAAAAAATCCACAATCATCTGCGTGCATAACAGGCTTCTTCTCTTTTCGCACTACCATTGCCATTGCCATTCTCATTCAATTCTCAGAGAACCTTCTGCATCATCCCTAAAGACACGCTTAATACCACGAACAGTTGACAGATTAACTTTATTTGTCTGATCTTGTCTCGCAAAGCGGCCATGTACTTTAATAATTCAGTAAATGCTCGGCATCTCTGCCTCTGCTTTCTCTTTATTACTAATGTTGACTATATATAGTCAAAGCCAACTTCTACTTCCATAGCTAGGCTTCTATATCTCTATATCTCAAAGATCTTAAAGACCAATAATCATCGTCTGTGACGCCAAGTAACACTGATACGATTGTACTAGATTCTTCTCTTGCAACAGCCTTCGCAAAGAGACAAAGGGAACAATCTTTAAATATGTTGAGCCCATTTACTCAATCCACAAAAAACAGTTTGTTCCCCTCGTGGAGGAGAGAACCCTCAATATGCGATAAAACTTTTTGTGTCCATATTCTTGTTTTGTTTAATAAAGTTTTTTCAGTTCTCATTCATTCTCTTCATGCTCCCACTTTCCATTCCTCTTCCTGAATCAGTCTGCCTGACCTTGAAACGCAATTCCTTTTTTTTATTCAACGATGAATGATAAGAGTGAAAATTTCTTGTTCGACAAAGAGCATGGCGAAGAGTATGGCGAAGAGTATGGCGAAGAGTAGGACGAAGAGTATGGCGAAGAAAATAACGACGACTTTGATGAATATCACTCATTCAACCAGGAAGTCAATGAAAATCTAGACGAAGACCCTACTTTCAACGAGAATAGGTGCGAATTCGAGAGTGACGATGACTACAGCGGGTTTTCTGGAAAGCGATCGCCTGTGAAAAATATTTAACAGTAGTTATCGGAAGCTAAGATAAGTGAAAATAAGATGTGGGTCCACACACCACATCCATGGGGTATTTATTCATTTTCTGGTAGAGAGACTCGTACCAAGTAACTACATATCTATCTAGAAGCGACATGGGATTATTCAGGAACCATGTCGGTGTTTTGTCGCGTCTCTAGTGACGCGTTATTATTATTATACTTTTCTTAGCGTATTAATTTTAGGAATTCCTCTAGTGTGTTCCTAGTGTGTTTTTAGTATTTTTCTTAATCTTATAGCTGGGCCGTTATTATCTTGTATAATGAAATATACAACAACTTTCTCTTTTATTGAGGAATAAAGCATAACATTCCAGGCACCAAGCGGGTTGAGAAAGGACGCGAAGGATGATCGCGATTGCTCAGTTCTTTATTTTATGTAAGCGCATATAAAAAAATTTTTTTTTTTTTTTTTTTTTTTTTTTAGGTTGTCGCCCAAGCATCGACATTCTTCTTTCTTTTTTTTTTTTTTTTTTTTTTTTTTTTAAAAAAAAAAAAAAAAACATGGATGATTATAGATCACTGATTGGTGGAATGGTAATGGCGCGTTTGGACACGTTTTCAATTTGGCGTTGTTGATTGGTGTAAATGATCAATAAAGATCAGATCATGCGGAAGAAAATTTGTAATGTCAGGAACGAATCAGGATGAAGGTAGTAGAGACAATGAGAATAGCAATGGCGGCTTCTTAATGAGGTTCTTTTTGTTTCTCATTTCTCCATTCCTCAACTTCGTTTACATTCAGATTCTCTTCATCGCACAACCAAGCTATCAAATATTATTATCGTGTTCGTTACATTGCTTACATTATGTCTGCCTCCAACAACACTGCTTCCTCTTCCACCAACAAGGTTGCTGGCAAAAAACGCGCTCGTGATGAATTGGAGAGTGATAAGAGCGCAAGTCGCCAGACTTCACCTTCTACTGATGGTCCACCCGCTGACCCAGTGTTTTCTTATGTACCATGGGAGCATCCTACCAGGGATGGGCGCAGGATCAAGAAGCTCTTTTTGGAGAGTGAACACTGCAATTTCAGGGCGCGGACAGAGAGTCCACTCTATCAGGATGGGGACGAAGTACGACCTCGCAAGTATCTTTACCTGGAGGGAGGACAAAAACTTGACTTATACAGTAGACCTATAAGCCGTGACAATTTTGACGTATTCTGGGTACATGAGCCATCGTTGTTCAAGCAACTGAGACGTCGTAACCTGATGTTGGTCAAGGAGGCGGACTGGCAACGGTTAGAAGCGTCAGCTAAGTCCTCACAACGTGCACAGGTTGCCGTCACTACAGTAGCAACGGAGACTGAAGTTGTGACAGAAACGTCAAGCAGTTATCAAGAGTCAACGTTGGGGATGTCAGAACGACAACTCCGAAAGGTTCTCATTGAATTAGAGTCAGTTGATGTAGACTCGCCTCGTAGCAAAGCTTTTGCAAGAAAAAGCAGCACTGTTGTTAGATGTGTATAGAACCTTTAAACCAGTTGCGGAATAAAGTGTTGTTTTCAAAATACATTTGTTGTTGGTTTTTTTTTTTTTTTTTTTGATGCATGCCAAAATCTCATTCATTCATTGGTTCATTTGTTCTGAACATCACGCCATTTGAAATGACTAATGGCAATTGAAGAAAAGGATGTGAATGGATGCTTGTGGGCATAAATTGATTGCCATTTCGTTTTCATTCCTTCATTCTTCATTTCGCCATTCTCATACTTTCAACTAAACTTCAAGACACTCATATTCCTGTGAACAACTCCATTATACACATATTCAGAATGTCTTCCAAGAATGTTCCTCAAAGTTCACCTTCAAGTTCACCTGTTGAACTTCACTTTTCATTCACTAGTGGGGAGAATAGTTTTGAGCACGATGATAGAGATCCTGCCTTCAGACAAGCCGACCGTCATGCACTTTGGAGAGAGAGAGGGGGTCCTCGTTATCGTGATCGCTCTCCGTCTCTAGAGATTGGTGGGTCTATTGTGACCGAGTCATCCACAGGGACTTCGCTTGGTGTGCGGAAGCGCGGTGAGGAGGATGCTGGAGAATCTGAACGTGCGCAGCATCATCAGCGCCGTAAAGTATTGGAGGAAGTAGACACGATGGTCTTGGACATCGTAGCTCTTTACAAGATGGTGCGTGAGTGCAAAAGTCAAGGTAGTGTTCTAGGGGGATCTAAGGGTGCAATAAAGGTATCTTTATTCAGGGGGAACTATGCTACAGAACTAGATAGAAAAGTAGACCTATTTATACTAGTTAATGTCCTGTTGCAAGGAATGCTCTAGAAATATGGGCGAAATACTATGTTGCACAAAATTATTATAGTGATTTCGCTTGCAGTGAGCAAGGAGAGATAATTGCAAATCTGACCAAGCAGGTGGAGGATTTGCAGAAGCAAGTAGGGCGGTCAAGGAGATACAATCTGCGTCCTACTTCAAGTAGAAATAGCAACCGTAAAGAGAAGAAATAAAGCTTTGCGATTGTTGATTTGTATGATTGTTAAATTTTTTTTTTTTTTTTTTTTTTTTATGGTTATTGCTATTACTCTTATTGTGATTGTTACTGTTATGGATACTGAGGTGGGTATAAATAAGGCGGTCGTGATATATCTAACGACGCATGCGTCGACGTTTAGGTCGAGAGGTTTTTCTGACAGATGTATGGTCATCAGACGTTGGCGACACATTCTGCACCGAGTCAACAGGTTCTGATAGGGAATTATGAGGTCGTTTGGGGCTAGCATTAACAATCTTAGAGGCGTGATGATTGGCCCAATATTCAGTTATACATTGTCGTTCAATGAAGTGTTCTTCAGGTTCCCATGTATTGAGATCATGTGGATAATTTTTCCATTTGACGAGGTATTCATACTCATGAGGGGACGAGGCATTTTGCCGATGATCAATTATAGTTTCCACTTCATATGTGTCCGTGTCTTCAAAGTCATCAAGTACGAGTTTCAATTGAGATGGAGCATAATGTCTGGCCAGAATTGCACCTGTGCCATCCTTGAGTATATAGGAACCATGAGAACTCTTGTTCACAACAGTGTAGGGTCCTTCATAACGTGGGGTAAGTTTATTACCACGGATTGGATCGAGAGTCATGACTTTAGCTCCGTCAGGGAACTCATTCAAAAGTACCGTAGCATTAAATCGCTCTATCATTTTCTGCTGAGTTCGTTTAGACTTGCGTCGAATTGCAGGGAAGACTATTTCTGTCATGTATTTGAGCCTTTCAAGTAACTCTTCTTGACTCATAGGTTTCCCATCTTCATCAGTATAGTTGCTGAAGCCATTGGCTTTGCGCGCAAAAAATAGAGAGAAAGGAGAGGAGTTGTGGAGGCTGACTATACGAGTATTAGCACTTAGTTGGACAAACGGAACATGATTATCCCATTGTTTGTTGTCGTGTCTTATTTGTTTTCTAATCATTTGGCATGCAGTTTTAACATGATTTTCAGCTACACCATTGCCTCGGGGATGGTAAGGAGTAATTAGTCTGTGATCAATAAACATTCGCGAGGTAATGATGCGTAGTAGCTCATTGACAAACTCTTTGCCGTTATCGGACTGAATGATCCGAGGAAAACCGATGTCTGTAAATCGCTTAAACAGCGCCGTAGCAACCGTAAGAGCAGATTTATCAGATAGTGCATCAAGTAATACAAAGCGGGCACAAACGTCAACGATAATCAACAGGTAAGAGTTGTTCTTCTCAGATGTTGTGAAAGGGCCAGCTATATCAATAGCAACATGTTCTCCTGGTAATTGGGCATGAATGGCTTTCAGTGGGTGGTAACCCTTTTTCGCAATATTCATACGTTGGCATGATTGACATCGTTTGATAAAATCAGTACAGTCTTTTGCTAGATGTGGCCATGTTTTGCCATCAGAATGGATAGATTTAACCATAGCATTAGTGCCGATGTGGCCCATCGCATGAGCGCGGTACATGACATCTCGCCGTTTTTCTTCGGGTACGATGTTTCGTGGATTGTCAGAAACTTGAATAGCATGGATGTATGCTAACATAGGTTCATTATGCACATCTAGTGCTTGTTGTCTTAGAGTCATGCGTGCTGGGAATAGACGTGATAAAGCATCAGGTAGAACATTGAGTACTCCTGGTCGATAATGCACCGTAAATGAATATCGTAATATTACGTCCTGCCAATTAGTCATCATGGCATTCATATCAGGTTGAGAATGAATAAACATTAATGCACGATGATCTGTGTACAGATCGAAATGTCTACCCCATAAATAGTAGTGGAATTTGTTAAGAGCAAAGACAATGGCCAGGAGCTCTTTCTTTGTTGCGCTGTATTTTCGTTCGCTTTGATGTAGTGATCGTGCCATGAATGAGATATAATTTATATCCTTCGGATGATTTATGCCTCGGGGTAATTGATACAGTACAGCACCAATCCCAACATCAGATGCATCCGTCGCGACGTAGAACGGGTGATTAAAATTGGGGAAGGATAATACTGGTGCATGAGTAAGCAAGGACTTTAAGGCATTAAAAGATTGTAACTGGTCTTCATTCAATGTGAAAGTGTCTGTTCGACATCTCAGAGCATCCAAGGGTGCAGCAACTTCACTAATGAGTGGTATATATTCGCGGAAAAAGTTGAATGTGCCTAAGTACGATTGAATTTGCTTAGCAGTAGTTGGAGGCTCCCAATCATCGATATTTGCGAATTTAGAGGGGTCAACACTTTTACCATGCAGGCCTATTATGAAGCCGAGCAATGAAATTTGCGTACTGTAGAAATTACATTTACCACTGTTGATGATTAACTTAGCATCGTTGAGACGGATAATCACAGTGTGTACATGTTCGGCATGTTCCTCTCTGTTCTTTGAAAAAATAACGATATCGTCAATGAAGTTGTAGACGAAAGGAAGATCACCAAGAATGCGAGACATTCCTCGCTGAAATAGACTGGACAATGGTTTCAAGCCAAAAGGTGCCTTCTTAAACATGTATTGTTTACCCTGATGCATAAACGCTGTTAAGGGTTGATCTGCTTCATTAATTGGCATGCGATGATACGCTTGTGAGAGATCAATAGTTGTAAATATGGCATGACCAGCGAGACGAATAATAATATCATTTATAAGAGGTAATGGATAGTTATCATCTGGTAGATGTCTGTTTAAGGGTCGAGGGTCAAGACATACTCGCCATAACGTTTTATTGTCATTTTGGTCTTTCTTTGCTGTGAGTGTAAGAGTATTATTGTGCACATTGCCTACAGGGGCAAGTGTGATAACGTCATCTATCAACCATTTTTCTATGGCTTCATTGAGGATGGACATTTGTTTTTCAGCAAAAGGACGTGATCGCCTATAGAGGACTGTACCCTCTGGGATTGGTAAAAATACTTTCATTTCCGGTACGGGGCATGAGCTCTGTTTAGGTATCCGGGCATTGTCGACTAGTGGACGTGAGATCTTTTTCATAAACACTTTTTTCTCAATGATAAATGTTTTGGTATGCTCTTCTTCTGGTATAGAACCAGGGATGAGGGAGGGACGTTTATCTTCCTCAGGTTCGGGTAACTGGATAGCATCTTGCCCTGGATTGTGGCAGTCCGAGAGTCCAAATCCAAGCTGATACAGTGTATTCCTCCTAGTCACACACTTTTTTAGGGAAAATAATAGGCCACGAGGGAAATGTATGTTCTCACTCTCCATGAAAGCTAGACAAGGAAACTCATCGTAATGTTATTCGTTTGCCAATTCTCTACAAAGTTTTTATCGGTATGACTTTTTCTTTCCAAGTTCATAAAGAAAAAAGATGGACTATTTTACTATGTGAGGGAAAATTGCACCAAAAAATCTTAAATTATGATTGGCTAAAACTTTAATTGAGATGACATCATAACGATGTTAAGGGTAGTCTATTCTGTCCTCAAATCCCAATTGGCTAGAATGCGCCTATGAGATTTATATTTTTTCACTTGCAGCTCGGCAACGTGGCCAGACATATTATTCCTTTTTGCGTTCATGTATCGGAAACTCCTCCTTGCATACTTTCGAATACTAAGTATAGTTACAGAAGCCAATGCCTTTGGTATTGTTTCTTGCAGACCTTTGAAAGTATAATCACAGTTTGCTCTAGTATAGCGCTTGCTTGCACCCCAGAACATCTCGATGAAGTTCAGTTCGCAGTGGTACTTTGGATAGAAAATGATTTGCTGCTCATGTTTGCCTGCAATCTCCTCTAGAAGTGATCGCTGTGCCATAAAATCCTATTGTAGCTCCAAAATGCGTGTACAACAACATGAGCTTTGATTATTAGAGTAATCACGAACCTTGCAGCTCGCACATATCATCTTAAGATCCTTTCTCCGAAGTTTCCTTTCTATAAGAACCCGTCTAATCCCTTTTGGCTTTCCTCGCAATTCTTTTATATAGTAGTCTTCAGAGTAGTTCATGGAGTATGTTTCGCCTGTAAGAAGA